CGTTTATCTAGTGCCCAAGCAGCTAGCATGTTCTTGCCTATTGGTCCATGGCCAAGAGGTATGCTGTTATTGTTAAATCCAAGAGTTATTATTAACCCACTATCCAAGTGGCGGATCCGGCCAAGCAGCAATTATTGACATTTTCTGGGACGCTTATCCGACAGGATTACACCGTACGCCCAACTTTTCACTCGAGCATTCTTCATCTTACATCTCTTTAGAGTGCATTCTATGCAGTGCTGCCTGTTTATGCCAAGCTTGGTGTTCCACAAGAGGTGGTGGATCAATGGAAGCCCAACGTCGAAGCCGGTAATTATTGAGCTTATAGTTCTGAATCTCCCATACTGAATGTAACAACAGAACTTGCCTCTAATGCATTGCACATGTGGTCCCGCACGCGTATGGCATGGGGTAGACGTCGGGGTGCTCCAGGGGAACCAGCTCCCCCATTACCAGAAGTCCAGTTGACAGAGGGCGGAAATTCTGAATCAACAGAACAAACATCTGAGCAAAGTGGTCCAGCTCCGGTGGTTATCACTTCAGCTGGAGAGACAGCAGAGTCTCCTGACTACCAGTTTTTGCATGTGTACAAGACCCCGGAGGAGTTGGCTGCGGCTGTCAAGTTTAGGAACGAATCCCTTGGAAAGGTACCCGTTCCATGGGTCCTGAAGGCACGTCAAGAAAAGAAATAGATTTATTTGGAATATTGGACGTGTTGTGCGCATTTTCCTTGGGTCTGACTCCAAAACATGCACGTCAGAAGAATTTGTGGAAGGAGGAAATATCTATCAGTCTTTGTATTTTGGATGAATATTATTGATGTCTTGCATTAATCGGGTGTGGCAAGTGGGAGCGGAGCTTGAAATCGTTTGTACCATAATTGTATTCCTATCGTTCGAGCTAGCCTCGACACAATGCCCCCTCAACCTAGCAGTGGGACTTTGCGCAAGCCGCGATTTCCCGCGTTTTATGCATGTTATCTCCTCAAGTCTGTTCAGACGCCGACAACAAAGGCAACCTACGTAGGTTCATTCGATACCGCCCGTCGTACAAGCCAATAGATCAAAATCTAGATTGGTTCTACTCCGAATCCACCTAGGAGACTGAGGCAACATAATGGAGAGATTGCTGCTGGCGCGAAGAAGACGCGAAGCGGTCGACCGTGGGTCATGACCATGCTCGTTCATGGGTTCCCTTCCAAGTTAGCAGCACTACAATTCGAATGGGCGTGGCAGAATCCGAATCTCTCAAGACACTTGAAAGGGCCGTCGAGTGAACTGACTCTTTCGAAGAGTTACACTTTGGGTGCACGGATTCGGTATGCATTATCATCTTCTGATTGCACCTGTTTCGACTAAAAATGAAGATTCTAAACTAAACAGGAACGTGAGGATCATGCTTGGTAGCCATCCATATTCACATTGGCCACTGCACGTCAAGCTCTTTACGGAAGAGGCGGCCCGAGCATGGCACAAGGCTGAAAAAACCACTGGACAGCTTCCTGAAGGATTCACTAGCTCAATAGAGCTTGAAGGTGTCGATGGCAGCAATGCGAGATTGTATGGAGGGTCTGGTAGGAACGGGCCAATCGATATATTGGATGGTCAGTCATCTCCATCAGATTTCGGATATCTTCTTATGAGAATTCTAGATGCATTTACAAAGCAACATCTGTCCAAAGCTGAACGGTTGCGGGCGTCTGGGACACCCATTCCATGCACAATCTGCACCAGTGATATTGACCTCGACAAAGAAGTAAGACTGAGTAATAAGATGATAGAATGAACATTGACGAGTTTATTAGGACCCACTTGCCGTAGCTCTCTGTCCGACTCCTGCTTGTCCAGGAACCTCCCACATGATATGTCTAGCAAGCGCATTTACTGCAAACAACATATATGACGACATTATCCCGAGAGGTGGCGTTTGTGAAGTTTGCTCTCAATGGACATCGTGGGGAGATATCGTCAAAGGGGCTGATAGGAGACGACATGGCGGCGCGGCGCCCACAGAGGACGAACCTGTCGACGAGGAAGAGGAGACACCTTTAAATGAAGATAAAGATCTCGTAAGAATGAATGCTCAAAAACTCATAGCTTTACCTAACATCTCTCTAGGACGCGATGATCGTTGAACCGACCACCCCGCCGAGGAAGCAGCCTGTTACACGTAATAAAACGCCGCTCAAAAGTGTCATATCACCTCGGAGAAAGTCTCCTACAAGAGGATCACCTCGGTCTTCCAAGAAAACGCTACTCGTCCCGATAATACCAAACCGCAGCCGTGCTGTCAAGCCGAATATCACAAGAGATACAAGTGAAGAGGAAAATTTCGAGGCATTGCTCGATCAGATAAATAATGAAACGGATGAAGACGATCTAGTCCGAACTCTCGCTGGCGTTTCACTATCTAGCCCCAAGAAAGGGCGATTAAAGTAATGATTGTATGTTCAGGATCTATTCAATTATCTTTGTAGTCCAATACAGCTTTAGCAGTTCTACGTTAGGGAAATCTAGAAAAAATGGCCTTTGTCAGAAGTGATCATGTAGGAATAATATTTATGATTGGTCCGAGATCCATTCCATTCCGTTGCACTCGGTCCAGGGCTTGACGGTAATCGACCATGACCTCGTTATGGCCACGTATCGACGTGCAATCCACAAATTTGGGCGGGTCGGGGAAGTAGATCGACGAATCATAGAGGGATAAG